ATGTAGGAGAGAATTTAGAACACTAGTTCCCTTTTATCCGCAAGGGATGCTTCCAAGATCCCCAGTGGATGCCTGAAATTGCAGATGGTACCAAACTCCGTATATACTATGTTTTCCCCTATCTATAACTAAATTAGGCACAATTAGATTAAAAAACAATATTTAATAATAGATAGAACAATTATAACATATACTGTAGTAAAGGTTATGTAAATGTGGTCTCTTTCTCTCTTTCAAAATATTATACTGTAGATATTAGCAACCTTAGCATATGATTTTGTTTTTTTCAGGAAATTTCACATTTTCACTTAAAGGAAGCACTTTGACGGCTTCTCTTTGGTATCTCTGAGATGCCAGCATCAGTCCTATTGTGCCTTTGGGGCCATTATTGACTAAAATAAGCGTTCCCTGAACACAAGCAGTGTCATAACATGACAGTCGATCGGATTACCATGATGGCTACTCAGTGATTCATGGGTTGGCAGTGTCTACATTGCAGATACGCTGGAAAAAGGGATAGTTTGCATCCTGGGGGAGATGGAGAGGGAAAGCATGAGATTTCATCACTCTCCTCAGGACAGGAAGTAAGTTAAAACTCATGAATTGTTTATTTCTGGAATTTTCCCTGTAATGTTTTTGGACCGTGGTTGACTATGAGTAACTGAAACCTCAGAAAGTGAAACTGTGGATAAGGGAGGACTACTATCATTAATAAGAGCACAAAGAGATCCAATATCTATGAAGAAATCTAGCAGAAGTACAAAACCTTCAGAGAGAAAAATATATTTTAATAGAAAGTATTTCTAAGTTAATAATTTACATAAGCCATATTCATAAGAATGGAAGGCATAATATGTTATATATGTTGGTTCTCTTCAAATTTGTCTATAGAGTCAGGGCAATTCCACACAAAATGCCAAGATTCTGACAGGCTAACTTGGGAACCCAGAGTTTCAGACATTTTGAAGGGAGAGGAAGAGATTTTGCTCCATCAGCTGTCAAGAATTCTTGGAAAGCTGCCATCACTATGGCAGTGGGGTATTGGCATAAGGAGAGGCTCTCACAGGCCAGGGGCAGAGAAGAGAGAACACAGAAACACACTTTGCCTCTACGGCCACTTGGTTCACAATACGTGGGGAAAAGGATAATATAATTAACGGTGTCCTCCAAAAAAATTGATAAGAATAAAAACAGAGCCTTCAAACTGTAGATCAGACAAACAACAATTTGGTCTCAGCTAAAATAGGAACTGTGAAAAAATGTGGTTCTCCCAGTTTATGACCGAGCAAATGGGATATTTAGAGTGAGCTGCCCTGGTCCAGCCTGCCCAGAGGGGCTATAAGGCCACAGCAGGCACGTGGAACACAAGGTCAGATCGAATCAGTCTGGAAGAGTATCTCAGAGATAACAGGGAGACTATCCCAAATTTCTTAACAGCGCACAAACACCTAAATAAAGCAAAAACATGAAGATTGGACAAGAAATTAACAAAATGTGAATTACAGGGGAGCTTGCAGAGCTATAGAAACAAATTAAGATCCCACCTCAAAAATAAACACTATCAATTTAGGTGTTTTTTGTTGTTGTTGTTTTAAAATTGGAAATTACAAGAAACAAGAAAGTTGCTAAAAGCTAGATGTATTAATTTGTTTTCATACTGCTATAAAGGAGTACCTCAGACTGGGTATTTTTTTTTTTTTTTTTGAGACAGAATTTTGCTCTTTTTACCCAGACTGGAGTGCAGTGACATGATCTCAGCTCACCACCACAACCTCTGCCTCCCGGGTTCAAGAGATTCTCCTGCCTCAGCCTCCCAAGCAGCTGGGATTACAGGCACATGCCACCATGCCCAGCTAATTTTGTATTTTCAGTAGAGACGGGGTTTCTCCGTGTTGGTCAGGATGGTCTCAAACTCCCGACCTCACGTGATCTGCCCAACTTGGCCTCCCAAAGTGCTGGGATTACAGGCATGAGGCATTGCACCTGGCTGAGACTGGGTAATTTATAAAGGAAAGAGGTTTAATTGGCTCACAGTTCTGCATGGCTTGGGAGGCCTCAGGAAACTTACAATCATGGCAGAAGGCAAAGGAGAAGCAAGTATCTTCTTCATAAGGCAGCAGGATAGAGAGAGAGCACAGGGAAAATTGTCATTTACAAAACCATCATATCTTGTGAGAATTCACTCACTGTCAATGAGAACAGCATGGGAGAAACTGCCCCCACAATCCAACCACCTCCCAACAGGTCCCTCTCTCAACACCTGGAAATTAGAATTCTGATTACGATTCAAGATGATATTTAGGTGGGGACACAAAGCCAAACCATATCACTAGATAATTGTTATGCAGGCAAAGTTTGAAACAACTATTATGAACTCAAAGCAAACAACTGAAAAGACAAAAGCACCAGCGGGGAGATAAAAGCTGTGAAAGCTAAAGTTGCTCCAATGAAAGAATAATTTTGCCTAAAAATTGAAAAAGAAAATGTCAGAGATTTTAGAGAAGAAACATTTCCTGGAACAAAGGCAGAATCAAATATGCCACCTTAACACAATAACAACTTTAAAAACTGACAGTGCTCACGGAGTGCCTCAGGAACTCTCTGCATCACTTTATTTATAATGAGACCATATCTGTGTTATAAAATCTGTATCATAAGATGTTTATTCACGAAATTTTAAGCTGTTAATAAAAGTCACCATATACAAATGTAAGGGACAAGAAAAGTATATTTATACTTTGCAGAATATTTAGTGAACTCTCCTACATCATGAAGAAAGGACAAATACCCCAACTGAATCACATTGGCAAAATATAAACAAAAAATTATAGAAGAGGAAATTTAAATGGCCAAGAAACATGAAAAACTGTTCAGCTTTCCACATAATCAGGAAAATACAAATTAAAACAAAACGCAATTCTTCATCACCTTTGCAGCTTTGGCTGTGTGTAGGAAGATGGTTTATTTGCTATTTGTGAAACACATTCATTCAGCCTCCTAGAAAGACAATTTGGCAGAATCTATAAACAAGTAAGTAACAGCACCCTTTGCTTCAATAATTCTACTTTTTAAGGCTTAGACAAAAGATAAATATGTATGTACAAAAAAAAAGAAATATATAATCATTATTACAGCTTATTGGTAAATGTGAACAATTTAAAACATCTAAATGTCCAGTTGAAGAGTGGTTAAAAAATTACGGTATGTAAATTCTTTGGCATAGTATGTATAAAAAGAATGAGGTAGATCTATATGCATTAAGGTAAAAAGATCTCCAAGATTTCCACCATTAAAGTGAGTAAAAATGCTGAATAGCATGGGCAATGTAATCCCATTTATTACAAAAGGAGAACACAAATTGTATATTTACAAAAGCATATTTCACACACAGAAATGCATAGAAAAATATAAGAAAAGTTATACCCAAGACTCTTCACAGGACTGTGAAAGGAGGCTATGAGGCAGGGTGAGTGGTGAAGGGGACTTTATTTCCTTTATATATTTCTCCACTGTTCAAAATTTTATGAGCGGCCGGGCGCGGTGGCTCACGCCTGTAATCCCAGCACTTTGGAAGGCCGAGGCGGGCGGATCACAAGGTCAAGAGATCGAGACCATCCTGGTCAACATGGTGAAACCCCGTCTCTACTAAAAATACAAAAAATTAGCTGGGCATGGTGGCGCATGCCTGTAATCCCAGCTACTCAGGAGGCTGAAGGCAGGAGAATTGCCTGAACCCAGGGGGCAGAGATTGCGGTGAGCCGAGATCGCGCCATTGCACTCCAGCCTGGGTAACAAGAGCGACACTCCGTCTCACATTAAAAAAAAAAAAAAAAAAAAAAATTTATAAGCAAGAATGTAATGTATTTCTTTTTTATTAACAAATTTAGAAGATGAGAATTGCTTGAAACCGGGAGGCAGAGGTTACAGTGAGCCGGGACTGTGCCACTGCCAGTCCAGCCTGGGTGACAGAGCGAGACCTTTTCTCAAAAAAAGGAAAAAAAAGGGCCCGGCGCGGTAGCTCACGCCTGTAATCCCAGCGCTTTGGGAGGCTGAGGTGGGTGGATCACGAGGTCAAGAGATCGAGACCATCCTGGTCATCCTGGTGAAACCCCGTCTCTACTAAAAATACAAAAAGTTAGCTGGGCATGGTGGCGCGTGCCTGTAGTCCCAGCTACTCAGGTGCCTGAGGCAGGAGAATTGCTTGAACCCAGGAGGCGGAGGTTGCGGTGAGCAGAGATCGCGCCATTGCACTCCAGCCTGGGTAACAAAAGGGAAACTCCGTCTCAAAAAAAAAGGAAAAAAAAGTAACATTATTTATAAACTCTACTAGAATAAAGATAAGATTTCTACCTCTTTTCCAGTCAGAGGCATCCTCCATCTTGGGACAAGAAATTAACATAAAAATAAAAATATTTAGCTTTCTGCCACCCTGGGCCTTTTTCTTCTTTCTCCTTCTTTGGATCAAGGTCAAGGGCATCAGAACTCACACCCTGAGCCAGTCAAGGAAACAGCCCCAAAGCCGACCGAGGCTTCTTGCCAAGACAGGTGAAACCACAGTACCCAGTGTTCAAAAGTAAGCCAGATGTTTACTCTGGCGTGTCTATTTTCTAAACTACCTTCTTTGACACGACATATGTGAAGGTGGAGAGGGCAGAAGGACGTGAAAAGGTTCCGAGATCATGAGGAAATAATAACTCCCAGTCACAGACGACTGAAATCACTGTTCTGAGTGTCGCAGCTAGCTGAGCAGCAGTTTAAAAACAAACAAAGTCATGTGTGTTACGGCAAGCTGGACTCACACAAACAGCGGTCCTGCTACAGTTGTAAAAAGATGATTTCCTCATTCCATTTTCTTTCATCTCATTGTCTTATACTACATACCTATGTTCTTGAAAAGCAGGGTTAAACGAAAGTGAAGCCTTAGACAAACAGAACTAAAGGCATGAAAGCTCCAATAGTGCCAGAGATAACAGGTGAAAGGAAGAGAGATAAAGACTCACCGGGTGCTGAGGTCGCTGCCCTCACCTGCCATCTTCCCACCCTAGGGCCTGCCTGGGCCGCAGAGCCTGGCCTGTGAGCTCCGCAGTCTGCCCCGCCTGCAGGCAGTGTGGCTCCCCAGGCGCTGAGCAGGAAGTCGGCCGGCAGACTGACTCACCCTCGCAGATTCCTGCCCAGAGGGGGAAAAGAAAAGTGAAAGCATTTCTTCAAGTATATGACTGGATGCAGACACTGTGTTTCTCCTCCTTTCTCACTCCAAGGGGTTCTCAGCTTTTCTGAAATGTGGCAGAGGGTTGCAGGAGAGGCCTGACAGGCGGCAAGACGTGCCGGACCAGGGAAGGAGGGCCCGGGGGACGAGCAGGGCCAGCTCCCGGAGCCCACTTGCCTGTGCAATAGACAGCAAACAAATTTCCTAGAACCAAAATTGTCCTTGGCTGCTCTGCCTTCTAAGAAGGGGCATCGTTTACATGAGACTGTGGGGGAGCCTCCATGTTTGCTCCATCCCCTTGCTGAGATGGCTGGGGATGGGGGCTGGAGGGTGGGAGGGAAAACCGGAAACTTCAAATCTTCTCTCAGGCCCATGGGAGAGCTTGGACTGGACTAAGGTAGGTCCTGACAATGCTCGCCCGTATAACCTGGGGAGAGTGTTCTTAGCCTTCCTGGAAATCAGCCAGAGGTAAGAGAGAACTTTCCACGCCCCTGGGACCAGAGGCTGGAGCCAGCGTGGTAAGAAAGGCGAACATTCTAGGTGCAAGGGGTTAAGGAATCTTGACTATGGAGCCGCCTTGCAACAGCCAGGGGTGAAGAGACCTCTGAGCTTCGGAGAAGTCGCTGGAATCTTGAGAGAACAAAGGTTTCTCATTGGAGGAGGATGGAGGTTGGAACCCAGATGATCTAGACATGGAAGGGCAGGGTGACTCCAGCTGGGGGTTCTATCTGCGCCTGGATTTTCCATTTAGATTCTGGTTCCTCATTCCTCAAAGAACAAGAAGTGACCTAGAAGACCCACTCTACGTCAGTATAAAGTCACAGGGAAAGAAACAGAAGCGAAGGGCATGTGAGAATGGGACCACAGGACACACTAGGGACCAGAACTCCAGGCAAAGCCATGGGGCAGAGACAGGGAGGCAGCTGGGGGCCTGGGGGCGCTGGAATCCAGGGCCTGAGGTGAGCAGAGGGTGGAAGCCGGGGAGGATTCAGGGGCCAGAGGGGATGGTGCTTCAGAGCCATGTTTTCCAAATTGCATTCTGCTGAATCTTTTCCAGCTGTGAATAAGGATGTTTGCCCAGGTACATTTGAAAACATGGGGGTGCGGTGTTTCTACCCTGATTCTACGCTGCCCTTCTTTCCCTAAATTGAGTGAATAAGCCAGGTGCCAGGACACTGTTGAGGACAGCTTTTCCGGTGGGCAAGGTCAGTTTCTATCAGGCACTGCACACCTGTAGGTCTCTCTCTTTCTCTCACTCGCTACCCCATGACCCCCCAGTTTTATGGGGCACCGTGGCTGGTAAGCTGAGTCTCTGTTGGGCACAGCTATTCTCTGATCCCAATCTCCATGGAGCACAGCAGCCCTGACAAGGCCTGGCACGGACCACACCAGTCTGCTCTGGCATCCACACTCACCCCTCTCACTGCTCCTGGGCAGTAGGCAGGTTCAGGCCACTGAGCGGCACTGTCATAAATGTACACTGTCATAAATGTACACATCTCTCTGGATGTGCTTCGGGGCTGCTAAGGGCAGCAGCTGGAATTCTAGACCAATGAGCAGCAGGCTGGAGGGAAATCTGCAAGTGTGGACATTCACAGGTGGGCATGCCCGTGCTAGGACAGCTCCTGGCAGCAGGGAAGGAGAGGTTCTTGTCAGACCAGGTTGGAGAAAGCTAAGCCCACACCACACTGCAAAAGCAATGGCAGTTAATGGAGAATCTCTAGGCCTCTGTGGGAAAAGCAGTTTCTTCGATCTGGAAAACATCAAGACACACCTGGGTTGGGAAAGGGACAGGACCAAATTAAAAAGTAGTGTGAATTTTTTAAAATCCTGCTGGACTGTTGACAAGGAAATAATGGAATTCCTGGAGTATATTCCGTGGCTGCAAGGAGCACAGGCAATAGGGAATGTTTTTGCTGTCACGGAAGTAGTTCCAGTTACTGGAGCCTAGAAAACTCAAAAGCAGGAGAGGCAGTGATTAAGGAAGGACCACAGGCAGGGCACCCACCCAGGTGATGGGCCTTTGTGAGCTTCACCAAGAGCAGCTTCGGTTCAGACTTCAGTGACGAGGGGTGGGGAGAGGCTGTGATTCTTTTTTTTTTTTTTTTTTTTTTTTAACCGAGTCTAGCTCTGTTGCCAGGCTGGAGTATAGCGGCACGATCTCGGCTCACTGCAACCTCCGCCTCCCAGGTTCAAATGAATCTCCTGCCTCAGCCTCCCAAGTAGCTGGGTCTACAGGCGCGCACCACCATGCCCAGGTAATTTTTGTATTTTTAGTAGAGGCAGGCTTTCACCATGTTGGCCAGGATGGTCTCGATCTTTGGCCTCGTGATCTACCCACCTCGGCCTCCCAAAGTGGGACATTACAGGCATGGGCCACCCTGCCCAGCCCAGGGCTGTGATTCTTGAACCTGGGACCCCCATGTGGGAACCAGAGGTGTATCCCTGAGATGAAGACATTAGCATCACGGGCCAGAGAGTTTCAGGGCAGGACACAGCTTCAGCAACAGTGCCACTGGGGAATAAGGATAGAGAACCTGGCCACCCTCCAACAGACACAGAAGTGATGGGTGAAGAGCAGGCACCTGGGATCTTTAGTGGGAACACCCAGTTTTGCCAAGCTGTCTCCTTCTAGGAGGTGGAACATCAACCAGTGCAGCAGGCCCAGTCCCTTCCTATCCCTGCCCTTCTTCTAGGGGACACTTCTCTGATGGAGTAGGAGTGAGCCTGCTCCTTGCTGGGGCTACCTGGAGTCATCCTGCCTACAGAGACCAAGACATTTTGGCTCCTCCAAACTTAAGTGCACAAGGACAGGGACCTGTATGGCATGGGGGAGGGTTCAATGCCATGAAGATAAGCCTGATTCTGGGGTTTAGTGTTAGGGATCCCTTTACTGCCAAATGTCTAATCCAGTTTTCATCAGGAATAAACCTGGTATTTTGATCCCCATCTGTTTCTTCATTTTTCATATATCTCAAAAGGTTCAAGCATATGGTATACATCTCTCTGTTAAGATTCTCTTCTATCTGTGCCCCAGATGCGTAGAGGCTGGGGTAGTAGCTCCTTGCAGTTGCATGATTGTGATGCACTTATTCCCTGGGCTCAGTGGGCATTTGGTGGCAATATTTCAGCTTTTAGGAACTTGGGTGAGACAACATACTCCCTGGCCCACCCACCAGGGTCCTCTGCTCAGCAGAGCCTCAGTGACTGGGCTCCCTAGCCTACAACACTATAAGATGCCAGTGGGATTTGTTGGAGGTGATAATGATTATTGCTGTTGGAAGGCAGTGAATCCTTGGAAAATGGGCGAATGGGAAGAGGTACCCTGGTAGGGAAGGAAGGGACTATGGGGTGAAGGATTGTAGGGAGTCAGAAAGGCAAGAGGAGCACTGGACAACACAGGAAGTCCCTCTGGCCATCTCCTGATGGTGGGGACCATCCATGAGAAACCCCAAGGATGCCTTCAGTCCTTGTGCAGCAGCAAGAGGAAGGAGACTGGCCCACGGCAACACCTGAGTCCACATCATCAAGCAGCGTGGTTCAGGTTGAGCCCCTGTTGTATCTGTAGCTAGACATATGCAGATCCCTGTCACTGTAATTAATGGACAGCTAGGCTGCTGGCGGCCCATGGATGCCACCTCATACCTCCTTCTCGAGGCCACTCAGCCGATAAGGCATGCCACAGACACACCGTGAGCATGCACAGCGAGCAAGGGGCCCATGACCACCATTCCCTGTGTCAGCTGCCCATGTTCCATTTCCAACAGCTACCCTGTGCCCCTCTGGGCTCTGCCCACCTCGGGCCAGCGTGCCCTCTCCTGGCTGCATGTGGCGCTGCAGCCTCCTTAGGGTTGGGTGGAAACAGGAGCTGAAAATCCTCCTGTTCTTGGGATTATAGCTAACCAAACACTTCGAAATGTGTGGTAGAAGTGGCATCGTTCCTTATAAATAAAGTCAAACCCATGTAAACACTGGTTTCTGAGATCATTTTGCCATCTGGGAGCTCATGAGCACCACTGTGATGCCACCTAGCCCTCTGTTCACTCCTGCGAGGGGCAGGGGACTCTGCCCTTTGCTCTTCCTGGTTCCTGTCCTCTTCCCTGAGAGTTTTATTCCTTCCAGAGCCCCAAGAGGCACTGCCTTCTGCACCTCCCTGGAGGCTGATGCCTCAAGCCTGCCCTACACCATGAGGCCCTGCAGGACACTCCTGTGGTCCTTGCAGGACTCAACGCTGAGCAGTTGAAAGCATTCAAAAATGGTGGGTAAATGGCAAAAACTGGTGGCATGGAGTAAATTAGAAGACACAAAACTTCAAAGAAGTGTGTGTTTCATGCAGACAAGTTTGGCAATGCCCACTGCCCCAACCCAGTCTCCCCAACTGAGGGGAGGGAGCTTCACCTTCCTCTATCCCCAGGGTGTAAGGAGGAAAGAAACATGAAACGTGGCTCAACAGTTAAAGACAGGATTATTTTGGAGAATAAATCTGAGAGGGGATTCTGACCAATTTTTTTTTTTTTTTTTTTTTTTTTTTTTTTTTTTTAGTCAGGAGCATTTTCTTTCACAGACTGGGGGTATTTAAGGGTTTAGGAATTTGGGAGCTTATTGCAGGCTCTGAATCTTTCTATGTGAGGGAAAGTTTATTGCAAGGTTGAATGTCTCTGATCAGAGTGGAGGTTATCTCGGAGTTGGCATGTTTCTGGTTGTAGGGGATGGTTTATCTTAGGGTTGGAATGTTTCTGGTTATGCTAACGTTAGCCATCTGGCTGTTTTTGGGCTGGATTTAGGTGGTTTTTTAATTAAGGGAAACTTAAAATGGTGACATTTGTCCAAGATGGAGAAGCTCCTGCTCTGTCAATTCAGTCCCTATACTTATAAAAGGATGAGAGGTGGCCTGTTTTTTTCTCGCTACTT